GTGGGCCTTGCGATTTGCTCCCCTTGAGCTCTCTCCCTTCTCAAGCTCTCATGCAAGAAGAAGAAGTAGAAACACACAAATTTTCATTCAAATATTCATCATCTCATACAATGCATGAGGCCTCCTATAAATAGGCCAAACTGACACAAAACTAAAAGACATAAATGCCCTCGGGGCTACAATATCAAATGAACTCCCATAAGGGTAAAAATGGAAATACTGAAAAATAAACTATTACATAAAATGACTTAAAATAAAACTCCTGATCGTGGCCGTCGATCTCCGGTGTCTCCGATGTCGACATTTCTGACGATGTCCTCATCAGTTATCCTATCAACAATCACTCATATTGCATCATGATATTGGTTCATGAATCGAATACATGTGCAAGCCACAATAATTCTAAGACAACAAGTCAATCAAATTAAGGTACATGGAAAAGGGTACCACAACTAACTAGTCATCTATAGAGGTCAAAAATGGCTTCGATCAGTTTGGATCTTTAACTTTCCCCTATGGACTGCATGCAACTTCATTATGTTCAGTTGGCTTAATATGCCCATTCACAACAAAAACTTTCTAAAGATTGATCCCGACCCACCAATCAATCTACTAGAGGGGAGGTGACATTTGCTTCGTGGAATTTAACCAAAGCAAGGCAGACAACGTGGGCTCATTTTGAAATTAATCCATTTCTTGTTGGGCTGATATAATGTAAACATGGAAAATTAATTAAGAAACTTAGTAAACTAATTTAGCATATACATTAAAGACTTAATTGGCTTGATTAAGCCCTTTGTAAATTAGGCAAAGCAAACTATGCCAAAATTTAGGTAATAAAGTACTAGTTAATTAGCCCTTCACTAATCAAGGGAGATATATTAAACACTAATTGCAATAAACAAGATGCTTAAATACCAACAAAAACTCTAAGTTATATACCCATCAAAGCAAAATGTCAATATAAGTAACATAAATACTACAATTTCAAGCAACAATTCATCAAGTACAAGCCACAATTTAACAGTAACTCTTCGGGGTGTCACTTATTTTGAATTTTTTTCGAGTATTATTTTGTCAACAGAATCAATCAGTAACATAATTTGCTTATACATAGCCAGAAGATTTAAAATTTTGGTGCTTTTTATAACAATGGTCTACATAGACACCAATGTAAAGCAAAATGCATCCGCTAATATTTACCACTCCCACATGGCGCTTCATATGCAAAAGCCATCCACACTACAGCAACGATAACACAAATATAATAAGACAACTTTTTGGCACCACAAATATCATCGAAGCTAACCATAAGCTTAATCAGTAAAGCTTCTTTTTACACATGGAAATATCTCGTTTATTCTCTAAGCATTGAACACAAAATATTAAACTAACCTTCTTTGATGTTGTCTCAGCTTCAATCCAAGCATCATCCACACTCTTATGCAGTTTTTCAGTGGTCTTTCTTGTTCTGCATTTATCGATACAAAGTAATTTTACATCTCCATTTAATGAGAAATCTGGAGACTATTAATGTTTTGGTTGAACTACTCCACAAATTTCACAGATGATAAAAAATGTGCCTACCTTGCCTTCAGATCTTCTTTGACAACTCCCAATTTCTCATTTAGATCCTTAATTGATCTTTGAAATTCTTGATTACTGTCATCAAACCAAACAAGCCGTTATCTTTTAACTAGGATTCAATATATCGAACTTGAATGTAAGAGAAAGCCTGCAGCACAGTGACATGTCAAAACGATTGACCATTTAAGAGACCAAGACAAACCTAGAATCGAAAAATGTTAATAGCAAAAAAAGTTTATCTTATGCCCAGAAAGATAACACCTAATACAGATGGTAACATAAAAAATCATGACTGTTAGAGCAATAGATCACAATTGAACACGTGTGTTGCCCACTAATCTCTATATAATTTGCCAACCAGCCTGCATGCAATTAACAAGAATACGCCAAAAACAAATAAATATTTTTGTGAGATGATTAAATATATTCATACTACCAAGAATCGTTCCCGACACTTAATACAAGTTCCTAATTGTCGAAATATTGAAATAAAATTAGTCAAAACAAAGCTATAAGATAGAAGTCGGGCTCATGTTCAACTAAAAGCTTTCCTCGATCCATGAAGGCCACGCACATCAATCTAGGAGCAAATCTTTGAGCTTCTCCAATAGAAATGCATCTTTTCTTTCTTTTGAATCAATTCGATAACAGTATGATACTTAACAGGATATATAATATAGTTAGTTGGTTAGATAAAAAGTGAATAAAAAATCTTTTAAAAAATGGTGTTACCTTTTTGCTTCCCCCTTCAGTTGCTTTGAAAACTCATTAAAAACGCTCAATTGACGAGGATTTCCACATTTGTGTGCTGTAATTAACCAATGCTGCAAAAGTGCGCCCAAAACATCATCAATATGCTTTATATACAATCATTTTCAAATATTGAAATTCTTACGGTAAGGGAAAAATATAAGACATTATGGTAGAGTAGAATGAAAATAAAAGAAAGATAAAACATCATTCATGTACATATTTATAATGGAAAAATTGGATATGGTACTACGACAAGAAATCAAGTTAGACATGGCCATAGAAGAGAATGAATGGGTAGCACATGCTGAGAAAAAATGCCAAAACATAGAAAGGAAAATAAGCAGCAATATATGCAGCAGATCCAGGTAAAGTGAGGTGAAATAAAGGAGCTCATATGAAGGGGTTGCAAACACAATAATGATGGGTGAAAACTGGCGCTTCCAATGATGGTATAGGAAGAAATTTGACACACTATAAAGCATGGATGGAATACAGAATACAGAATACATAATATCAGTAGGATTACAGACTACAGTACAACTAGGAGACAATTAGCTACAAAAAACCAAATGCATTCAACCCATCAAACTATGGTGGAATATCATCATCATTAGCCTAATGCCAACCATCCGATGGAATATCCAATGAAATATGATAATATTAGCCTCTTTAATGTTCAAAACTTATGAATAGTTCAACTGTGGAAAGTTATTTCTCTACATTGCCTTACTAGGTTAAGGCATGTAAGGATAGTATTTGGTTTAATCCCATCTCAAATAATTGAAAAAAAAAAAAAAAGCTTATGTGGAAATACCATATGATTAGCTATCACCCATAGACTTAATATTTTGGATTGAAAACAAATTTGATCACTAGTGTGTCTTGCCCAATTTTAATTCCCTTTCCTCAACACTCCTCAACAAGTTGTATCAAAGTTAATGATTCAACTAAGATCAAGTAGTTTATGTAGTTTGTGGTTATCATGAGTTTTGATCAGCCTTCCACTGTCGTTAAGCAAAGTTCAAAGAATGGGTGACAAACAACAACGAATCCCATGTAATTGAATGGCTCTTGGTGAGATTGTTAAAACATGCGAGACATTGGGTTTAGTTTAACATCAAATATTTAAAAAAGAAGAGGTTGACCCTCACATGTAAGCTTAAACAGTTAAGAAAAATGGGTTTAATCATAAGTGTATCTAGCCCAACGTTAGTCCCCCTTTGGTAAACACTCCACAGTATGTTATCAACCAATCATCTTCAACATCATTAGCCTTATACCAACCATTAGGTGTCAATTTTATGACTAATTTTCCACTTTTTCCTATCAAGTAATGCTTGAGACACTGAAATTAATCTTTGTAGATAATTTTGAATAACTTGAAACCATGTTATCTTTTAGGTCCACCTCTTTGCCTAATTATTCTTTGCAGATCATTATGCCAACAAATAGGGATCAATTCTATGACCAATTTTCCACTTGTTCCTATCGAGTGATGCTTGAGACATTAAAATTATTCTTTGCATATCATTTTGAACAATTTGAAACCATGTTATCTTTTAGGTCTACCTCTTCGCCTATCTAAGCCTTCAACAATAATTTCATCTACATATCTAGTTGGTATATTTTCTATCTTTTGTTGTACATATCTAAACCAATAAGCATATTTTCAACCACATTACGTCATTATGTGTCACTCTAATTATTCCTTTAATATAATCACCCCATAATTTATCCTGATTTTGCCATGCATACATTTTAATAATCTCATTTTAATATTGTTTAACTTATCTAAAAAAATTTTATCACTCAATCAAATCCATACATCTTCAACCTAATTGTAATTGTAAATTTTATGTTTAGTATTTGTGATATCTTATACTCACATAATACTCAATAGTCATTTCTTTAATTTAACCACCAAATCTTAACACTAGAAATAATAGCCACATACACATTCGCAATCTTTTAACTACACCTAGATATAATTTCATATTCTAATAATATTATTTGATAACTATTAATATCACAACAAAATTAAAAAAAAATGCTGCATATTTTCCCAATTATTTTAACGTTTCACTTATTTCAGCAATTTTCTAACTAATTAAACCATGACATCTTAAGAATATATATATCAAGATATCATATTTTGATATCCTTAGTAAACATCTTCTTAACCAATACAAAGATATCGAATCAATGTTGATTCTTGACATAATCTTACAAAAATCGAAATTCTGTAGTTATTCAAAAGCTATTTATAATATTAACCACTGCTCCATCACATGTATTTTTAATAACTTCAGCATACTTTTGACCCATTTTTTCTTTAATATAATCCAAATTGATTGTAGTAGTATTCAATTGCAAGTCCTCTCGGGAATCAAGATCAATGTAAACGATTTGAAAATTCTATATCTTTGCCCTATAATTTTTCCAATAATTGTCTTAAAAAGCTTCAAAAGTAGAACTTTCTAAAATCAATTCTCCAAAACTGACTTGGGTTTTCCAAACCAATACTCCATTACTTTCACCCATAGGTTCATAGTATGCTCATAAATTTGATTGGTACAAAATACATTCTCTCAAGTCATTTTGCATCTTCTTGATTTTTAAATTTCACATAAAATAATTTGTTAGCAAAACCATTATCATATCAGTTATTTGGATGATTAATTTGTTTTACACCTAATTAATTTTTGCTTATTTTCAACATTAAGTTTAAATTATGACATTTTACTAAAAGGTGACATCCGAGCTCATTATCATTTGATTCTAACATCATTAAGGCACTCAATTGTAGGATAAATGATTAATTTAAACCGTTCAATTGAGTGTCTTGAATTCTAACCAAATAAATCAAATTAACTCTCTCAATAAAGTTATAAATAGGGCTTAAATTTCTACCTAAAAAGAGATTCAGGAGTTAAGAGAGCTAAAGAACTCTAATACATTTTCCAATGATCAACACCAACAACCACTATCAGCAACCGCTGCCACTATTTTCAATCTTCCGTCATCTGATTATTGACGCTTGGCTATTAACATCTACCCTGTTGTTAGGCTTTAACTATCCTCTCGTAGATACTTGAATTATTAAACCCTACAAAGGGAATCAAGCAATTATTTTCAATTATGTAATCATGTCTTCTTCAATTGTGGAGAAGAGTGGATTCTTGTATTTTCAATTATATAGCGAATTATTACAGCTAGATCAGGCCTTGTGATTTTTTTCCTTCTTAGGTTTTCCACAAAAAAATTATAATCTCTTACAATTTCTACCTAAACATGTTGGATTTTTACACAAAGCTAAGATATTAAATACAAATTCTACCATTGTGAATTTTCTTGCACATAATAGGACACATCCCGAATTGTATCTTAGTAGAATAGTGAATCAATTGATATATCAGCCCCTTAGCATGGCAAATAATAGCTAGAGATTTTGAGTTGAGAACAAAGATAATGGGAAGAATTTTCATGAGAAGATTAGGAAATCACTCAACCAAGCTAAAGGGACTCTATAACCTTTGAAAGAGGAATTACTCACACTTTTAACAAAGCATTCAACTAAAACAAGTAGATACAAATTTTACCTTAAACCATCCTAATAAAAGTGTTTATATAGCCAAAATAGATATTTAAAGTGGATGAAAAGTAATTTAATGCTTTGATTTATTACATTCCTCCACCAACCATTGTAAGCGGCCATTCAAGCCAGTAATTGTCGGTAGCTTAAGAAGCCGTCAAATGCAAAGTTCAAAAATAGAATGAGTACTTGAAGTTTTATTTATGAAAATAAGAGGCAGAAAAGGAGAAAAAAACTTCTGAAATTTGTGGTTCGTAAATAAAAGCAAGAAATTTAGTGAACAAAAAAAGAGCCACTTTCCCATCTCACACGGAAGTCCTTTCAACTCCTGGTTTATATTGATCACGCTTTCTTCTTTGTTCAATTCAGAAACAAGATACAACTATGAAATCGCAATTACCTCCCGATCATGGAGGATCTTAGCCCCTCCAGGGACGGCCGGGCAGGCGTTATGGCCGACCGTATCCGCATAATTACGTACAGTGCGGATGAGATTGTGCTTGCCGCTGGCCTCAACGGATTTGTTGACGGCGGACTTTAGCCACGACATTGATGGCGAGGGCCGTCAGCTATTGTAGAAGAATGCAGAGAACCGAAATCGGAAGGAAGCTGGAAGAGGTTTAGGGTTCAAGAGAGCCCGAGCTGCAGACGCACAAAAGTCTGCGACGCCACATGACGAAAAGGATTTCAGCTCCGTGGCATCCCGAAGTCGCAAGTGCCCTAAGTGGCGGTTTGGCAGCCAGTTTTTTTTTTTTTTTTAGGAAACCTTAAAGAGGCTTACGCATTAATTAAAATAAAATATTACAAAATCTTTAAGGGGATCTCAAGCTCACTATTGTTCAAAGGACTATTAAAATAAAGAAAAAAAAAAAACCTAGAAGCTCGAGTTCCCCGCTAGAAATCAGTACAAAAATCCCTAAGGACGTGTTACGGTGCTTAAGAAAAAAGCACCCAAAAATAAGGAGCTATCAAAAAACAGCCAAAATGCTCCCAGCAACCAGTCTCCTTGAAAACCTTGCTATCATCCACCCAAAAAATAAACTGCAAAAACAACCGATAGGCAAGAGAAATGAAACAAAAACTATAGCATAAAAAAACCTTAAGCATGAATCTCTGATAGCCCAACAAAGGATACAGCTGAAAGGATGAAAGCCACCCGAAGTCCAAGAAAGTCCAAATGCAATAATTGAAAATCACCCAAAAAGGATACATTATGAAGCTCCCAACATGAATAGCATACAAGGTATACAGCACATCCAGAGAGCACAAAAGGAAAACCATTCAAACCTTTCAACCATAAGTGCCAAAGGGAAGCCTGAACCCTAGCAAACCAAAGGCCGACAAAAGACCTGCAGTAAATAAAATACCCTCACAAACCCCCAGGAACAGCAGTGGATAAAAAGCACCCCATCATCAACTTAATCATCACCAGCCAAAAAACCTGGGTGACAAGCTAAGAGGGGCGAGCCACCAGCAAGCAAAACCAAAACCAGTAGGAGTCCACCAGATGAAAAACATGAAGAACAGAACAAAGCAGACAATCAAAGTAAACAAAATGTAACCCAAAAAATAGTAAATAATAAAACACACCAGCTTTAACCCCAAGTGAAAGGAAACAACTGAACTGAGCCAAGAGGGTAAAGAAACACCACCAGACAGACAAACAACCAGCTGCAGAAAAAAGAGACCTGTAACCACAAGAACAACCAGGTCTAATGCTTCACATAGGACATCCCAACTTAATCCAGTCTAAGAAGAACTTTAACAAGGAAAGGCAGTTGAGTAAAAGCCAGCTGATTAACACTGTCAAAATCACAACCTAACTTGGCCAAAACATTCGCACACGCATTCCATCATCCAAAATATAAGAAAAGGAGCATTTCATAGAGTTTAAAGTGTCTCTAATATCCCTACGAATGTAAAATAAAGACAAGAGCAAGAGTTATCCTCCTTAGAAAGGAAGGCCTTGTAGTCAAAATCAGAAACCACTTCCATAACAATATTATCCAGATAAAGACTAGCGCAACGCCTTAAGCCATGAAGCACAACATAGCAAATAGCATTGTTAACATCATCATAAGCAACTGGCCCAGCAAACTCCCACAAGTAGGAGCCATTGTGATCTCTAATGACACCACCACAACTAACAGTGATACCCACTATAGCACTTGCCACATCCAACTTGAAAAAATTAGGAAGAGGTTTAGTCCAAGTAATTCATCTAGAGACCTTATTGAGATTGTTAATCTCCAAATTAATACCAAACATGGGCAAAGTAAAAACAAAATTCTTGAAGTTCTTAAAAGAGAGAAGATTATCCAAATATAAAGCAGACACTTTGTCCTTAACTTTTTGAATAATCCTCTTGTAATTCATAACCACACCATTAAACCGGGAATCATTTCTCTCCGACTAAAGAAACCAAAGGATAAGAGGCGGGATAACATTCTGACATGCCCTTTAGCCTTAACAAACCAACAATCAAGCAAGTTGTATAAATGTTCACTAGCAGAAAAAAAAGTTAAACTGGAATATTTCTTAAAAATAAATCCAAATCTTAACAGCAACAGGTCCCAAGATGAAATTTTTTAGATTCATAATGTATTTCATATGTAATTTTTGAGGAAGTGGGTGTCTGATTCCCAAAATCATATATATGTCGAAGAAGTTAAGGTACGTCTGAATCTGAGTTATAAAAAGGAACTAGAGATGATTCTAGCTTATTATGTTAGGATACTAAGAAACAAATAGATTATAATGGTTAAAGTTTAGTTAAAAAAAAAAAAGAATGTAAAGAGAAGCTGCTTATGAGAAGGAATTTGAAGTGAAACAGTTATTTCCTGACTTGTTATGAGGATTTAAATCTTGAAATGTCAAGGATGATTTTTTTTTTTTTTTTTTTACCGTTCAACCCGTTCTAACTTTATTATATTTAAGATAACAAATTTAATTTCTTTATTTAAATCCATCTATATGTGTCTAGGAATGTTTTGTGTGCATGTGAGAGCTCGTATGTATTTTGAAATGAGTCTCGGTGGAATGTTTGCATGCTTGAGCAAGACTAAATTTTTTCCCTGGGGTGCTGCAGTGTTGAGGTTGGCATCACTTCGGCACCAGTGCTCTCGGGAAAATTGAAAAATAAATCAATGTGACGACATTGAAGGTGACGCAACGTTGCTATGGACTTTTTGAGGGAGCATCATGATGAGTGAGGTATGGAGTTGCAATGCTAAGCTGAATTAAATATCTAAAATATCCAAATTCACTATTTCATTCCATTCATTTCATTTGGAAAGCTATTTAGAGAGAGATATACAAGGAATTCTAAACATAGAAAGCCAAATTTAGACTACATGTTATTTTCTATTGATAGCCTTGTTATTAAAGTTGCTCGGAATGAGATAAGTGATATTATACTTATCTCAATTTTTAAAATACATATATTTCTAGAATTTTGTTATTTAATTTATAATCCTATTAGCAAAAAATAAGGATGACTTGTTATTTGCAAAACTTTCACTGTGTAATTTTCTATATGTTATAGAGACAATGATTCTGAATATTTAGATAATTTTCTAAAAAAAATTACAATGAGGATTTTGGGAATTTCGTTATTTTAATTTATTAGAAATAACCATAACTCTACAAAATGATATTGTAGTACAATTAAAGCTTTATGATAGTGCTCTTAATATTCAATGATAATTTATTTATGTTTTAAAATAATGAATTTCTGCATAGTAGTATACTTTTATGCCTACCATTAAGATATTTTGGTAAATTCTGAAATCAATTTATTTATATTTTTGTTACTACACTATGATGGATTATATGTTTATCTAATTGAATGGTGTACTTTTGGGGAGTTTAAGGTGGATGGAGAAAGCTCTATTTTGGTTCTAAATGTATATTATGGTGCTTATGAGTATATTCAAGTAATATATGCGTTCTTCTCAAAATTCTCTAAATTTTATTTGTTGGAAGTTATAAGAGTTAAATTCTACAAATTATGTTTGTTGGGAGGTATAAGAGTCAAAATTCTATGAATTATATATGTTCAGAAGCGTAAGGGTCAGAATTCTCTAAAATCTATCTCATATGAAGTGCTTGTTTATTTATTTTCTTAATATTGTTGTTTGAATTTCTAATAACTACAATTACTATTTTGCTCAATACAATGATTTATTATTTTATTTTTAGCACCCATTTAAATGTTTGATAAAAAAATCATTTAAAACTTTAGATTGATAAATGTAGCATGCTAAGTTAATGTTGCCTCATAATTTTTTCACCTTTTATTTTTAGCGACAAAGACGGGGAATGGGCCAATTGAGTAACAGTGTTAGGATTTGATCTAAGTTTGTTGAGTTTTTTTTTTTTCTTTCTTTTTAATTTTTGTACAATATTGGCTAGTTAATTATATTGTCCTATTATGTATCCATGTACTATAGCTTTATATTCATTTTGATGATAAATGAAAAGAGGATTTTGCAAATGAGTTTATTTTTAGAATATTGGATGTTATTAATAGCTTTGTGATTATTGTTGTTTTAAAATTAAAATTGTACAAAAATTCTGAGAGGTTTCTAAAATTTAAATGTTGGGGTTTGCTTTTTGCAAAACAACATGACATGACCTATCTAATATGTAGGTCTTATCAAGTTGGGCTATGAAAACAGTGACGATTCTTATCACCACATCATACCTATGCCACAACGCTTGCCAGCTCAAAACTTCATGCTATATCCATATTTTTACTTTTTAAATAAATTCATTTTAAGAATTATGGATTATTATCCTAATGTTCCCCCTTAGAACAACCCTATAATTCCATTGGTATCGCAAATCTTTACAGTATATAATTATGTTTCATGGAGAGCAATGATCATTATCATGTTTGCCAAGAACATGTTAGATTTCAATAATGAATCCATTCAAAAACTTGAAGTTGTGGATAAAACATTAAACATTCATGGGCACAAATTGATAATGTTGTGGTCTTGGATTCAAACATTTATATTCATGAAAATCTCAACAAGTATCATATATCTAAGAACTATTCATGATATTTACGATGATCTTCAAGTACCCTTCCAACAAAGCCATGGCCCCAAAGTATTTTTGCTATGCTATCAATGGTATTTCAAATTGTATAAATCTTTTTTTCACTTTAACTTTGAATAATCTAAATAAGGGTACTTATTATTTAGAAGATAGCATGTCCCCTCCCTTATTACTTTGTTGATCTACAATGGCAAGATCATTATTGTTGATTCTTATGAATGTTATTCATTTATTCAATTTAAACTAACATATTTGGGTGAACTAAAGTACTTCCAATAGTTATAAATTCCACATTCAAAGGCAAGTATCATTCTTTCATAATGGCATTACATGCTTCAATTCTTAGAAGATATGGGATTCCTTATCATTAAGCTAGTCACTACATTATAGGATCCCAAGCATCAACTCAATGACACCACTTATCATGCCCCAATATCTAAATCGAAATAATTTCACATGTCTCTATCATTTCAATTAACGATCATAGTTGATAACTTTATTTAGGAAATATAAAAATATTTTTATAGTCAAAATTTATATCATAACCCAGAGTCTAAAATAATATATATAACAGTCATGATATGCAACTAATAATAATATATCACTGTTAATACTTAATACATCATGACTACAAAAGAATAATAAAAAAAAAGATTAACATATATAGAAAGAAACTCAAGTCTTTAAACTATAACAACTTCAATCTACAGAATCCTTACCCTTGCCTAAAAGTATATAAAAATCATATAATGAGCATGTAATTTAACAAGTAACTAATATTTATAGCTAAATTCAATGCTTCAAATATAAGTAGTAAATATATAACTATAGAAATATGTAGCAGTCAATATATTATATAACTCATATACAATATTATCATATCATATTATATATTCATATTAGTACCCTTTTAACCTAGCTACATCTCAATTATGTGATTAATTAATCTTATCATCAGTCAATAAATCACGACATATCTTATCTCACATGTCATTAGTCTTACCAGTTGTCAAGCTAATAAGTCTTTGTTTGATCTATCATCTATCATTTATGGTATTTCTATATCTATCATATCATATATCCAGTTATGTATTTTATCATATATATGTAACAGTCCAAACTCTTAACTAACGAGATATTGTCAGCTTTGGCCTATGGGCCTCACGAGATTTTATGATCACCCACACTAACTTAGTTTTATCATGTTGATTAAATTTTCTAGGAGATCATCCATCTTAAGATTTCGTCGGGTTGAGCATGCTTAACTGCAAAGTTTCTTTAATGAAATTTCAACCGTTATACCAAAAGAAGCTTCAATATTTAAGAGTTTAATTTGTTCTTACTTAAGAGGTTTTATGATCACCCACACTTAAGTAATTAATTAATGTATTTGTCAATATATTTATCTCAGAATCTTCCACCATGCATATAGGATTATAGAGTTAGCTCCTACAAGTTTAAGTGGTGACTCCCGTCACATAGCATTTTGTCTCATACAGGGTTTAAAATGTGGCTCCCATGGCATAACATTTTGTCTTTTTATGGCTCTTAGTTCCCATCTTCTAGCTGGTGTATTGCTCTGATACCTTTTGTAACAATCCAAAATCTTAATTATTGAGATATTGTCCTCTGTAGCATAAAGGTCTTACGATTTTGTCTTATTGTAACTTCACAGGAAGTCACCCATCCCAAGATTTTTCTAGGATAAGCGCGTTTAACTGCGGAGTTTCTTTAATGAAATTTCAATCATTACACCAAAAGGCACTTTGAAATTTATGAGTTTAGTTTTTTTTTTTTTACATAATGGGTTTAACAATATACATATTAATATTTAATTCATCAATACATGACATCCAACTTTTATGATGTATTTTCAACATCTTTAATCTCAATTGTCCATCAGCTGATCATCAGTCTTTAATTTAACCTCAACTGTCAACTAATTAATCATCAATCTTTAATTTAATCATAATTATCAACCATTTTGTTATCATTTTTTAATTTAATCCCATGTCAATCAATTGGTTATTAATCTTTATCTTACCATCATCATTCATAAACTTAAAATCAATTCACAGGTAGTTTTTAGTGCATCATTAAGAGTTGTCACTTTATACCTATCAGTGTAATTCATTCGATTAGTTATAGGCTACTTCCAATGTTACACTTCAAACATTTTATTTTAAGAAAAGTCTGTTAGCTCACCCTCATATATAGGGTATTATATTTAAATAACCAACCCACATCAATTATGGTATTAACAACCATTTTTTTTTTATGCAATTGCATTGATTCATACAATAGTCTTATTATTTTATATATGCAATTCAACATTCAACTTCATATATAAAATGCAATAACCTATGAAATGCAAAGGAATCAATACACTATTTATTAACTCCATAAAATTATAATTATCAATTTACTCAATGAAAGTTTCATATAAATTAGTCAAAATATTCAGAATAATGATATCTATCACCTACAAATAATTATGCAGTGAAAGTTTATTAGAATGGGAGATATCATATTTTTATCACTTTAAGAAGGGAGAAATATACCAAACACAATATCATTGAAAACAGAAGTAGAGTGGAGGTCACTTACAATGATCATAACACTTTTTATAATAAAAGCGACGAGCGAAAAAGTCCCATGAAGCTTTCTATCTCTCTTCTTCTCTCTCCCTTATCTTCTCTTTCCCCTTCCTTTCATTCCCTAGTAAGCAATAAAATGAGAAGGGTATGAGATGGTGGTGATGGATATTTATATTAGATATATTAAAAAACACCGCAGTTCCCAGCTTCCCAGCGTCGTTGTACTGCATGATAATCCCAAAGTTACTGTAGACCATGGTCTTCAAGGCAACGGTTGCGTTTATTGTGGCCACTGTGCTTGCCAGCACAGCATTGTTTGTTGGATCCAAATTTTTCATATTTCAAATAATATTATTTTAAGAATTTTGGGTTATTACATATTTTACTTGATATCTCGATCTTAATATAAATGACTAATGGGATGATTGATATTTCTTACTTTGTATCAACCATATATCATTTTTATCATACATAAACTAAGTTAGTTCATATGCAACTAAGGGTACCATAACATACAACAATCAATGAACTTCTATTGTCTCAAATCAAATGTGGGACAATGTATATTCTTCTCCAGCTTCTAATCTTCACTAATAAAATATTTGCTTATGCTAATTGGGCAACATGCCTCAATATAAGGAAATCAATCACTTATTACTATGTATTCCTTGATAACTAACTTAATTTTTGGGAAGCTAAGCAAGAAACTATTTTGAGATCTTTCAGTGAAGTTTAGTATTTAGCATTAATTGTCATCTTTAATGAACTAACTTGGCTAACTCAATTACTATGTGATTTCAACGTCAATTTGCCATCTTTAGCATTTATTTTTCTTGTCACAATCAAGCCATAATTAGTAAAGCTGATAACCCCACATTCCTTGAAAGGGCCAAATACATTGATATCATTTTTCCACTTTATTCGTGATAAACTAATCGACAACTTCATCAAGCTCATGTTCGTACTTTCAGAGCATCAACTTGTTGATATGTTCACTAAGCAAGTATACATGAGTACTTTATCAATACTTTTGTCCAAGGTGGCCATAAAATATTTATTATTCATCTTGTGGGGGCTATTAGGGCTAATCAATTATACTATATAATATATATTGATATTATTTAATCATCCTTCCTTTATTTTTCCTTAAGCATGCCCAAGTAGAGGAATAGTTGTACTCAAAATTTAATTACAATTTTTGCTATAATTCCTTTGTGTGCCCTTATATAATAAGGTATCCTCTTTAATCAAATTAAGAAATATCATAGGAAAAGGTTATCATTCTTCTTTCTCAATTCTTTTCTTCCAAAACAATTGAAGACTATTTCATCATTCAATCAACCAAAGCCCTTCAAAAAAGACCTCATCATCTTTGATGTTTATAGTCATGGGAGGACTCTCACTTTGAAAAGATTAAATTTAATAGGTAATTTTCAAATAAAATGGAAATGTCAAATAAACATGTCATAAAATAATAATAATAATAAAAACAAATTCACCATTATTGTCAAATAAACATATTAGCAAATTATTAATTTATTCTTATCAATCATCCAATGCAATCAAAGCCTATAAAGAAAATTACATTATCTTCTTTCTTTATCAATTACATAAATAAAATTACAAAATACATTATTCAACACCTCACACAAAATTCAAAAACAAGATAGGAACCAAGATCCCAATTCCAATAACCAAAGCCCTCCCAACCTCCACCTTATTCCCAAAAGACGGCGACCCCTTCCTTCCCCCGCCAAAAGCAAACCCAACCGGAACCCTCTGGGCCGGTGGAGGACTATTCGTCTGATCGCTCCCCGGCAACGAAGAGGAATCGCTCGGCGTCGGCGATCCCACGTCACTCGCCTGCGGCGCAGCACTTGGCCGCGCATCCCCATTGCCGGGTGCAGGGGCAGCACTTCCTCCTCCGCGGCCGCCGCCGGAGAGCGGGATGATGACATACGCCTCGATTGCGCTGATGACCGGTGGCAGCGTGGCGCCGGTGGTTGACTGCAATGAAATCTGCGTGGTACTCGAAGCAGAGATATTAGCCATGTAGATCTCGATGATGCTGCCAAAGGGTGGAGCAAAGGGGTCGGACTCAGCGTTTCCGTCGACGAAGACTTGGAAGGTGCGGTTGTCGCCGGCAGCGAGCTGAGTGACTTCGGTGAAGTAAAGGTTGAAATAGGCAGAGACGTTGTTTGAGGGGAGAGGGGCGGTGAAGCCGATGGTGTTGGAGCCGGCGGCTGGAGTTACGGCGGATTGAAAGATGACTGCCGGAGGGGCGTCTTTGATGCCGGTGTCGATGGTGGTGGCTTGGTTCTGAACCACATTGAGGCCATTCGAGGCATCGATCGGAAACCAGATTCGGTCGTATGGGTCGTCGGGATACCTAATCAAACAAGATTAAGTGGGCTGTTTGGCTACAGAAATAATGGACAAGAGCCGTAAAAATTTGAATTTGGCGAAAAAATATTTTAAAAATACCAAGAAAATTACAGAAAAAAAAAAAAAACAGAATCTTGGCAAAATTTTAAATTTCTAATAAAATGGATCAAAATTTTCTTTTAAACGAAATTCATAATCTACGTTAATTAATTCACCTGAGTTGCGCCGCCACTCCGGCGGCCGTTCTCAACGCCAAAACCAAGGCCGACGAGCTCCGATCATACCTGCTATACATATCATCCCCAAGTCGCCGCAGCTCAATCGCCGATACGAACGGCAACTCTCCTTCATTTCTCTGCACCAAGCACACGCTGGTCGACCCTCCCCTCGCCTCAAAAATAGCCTCTTCACTTATCACCTTATCCACCGCCGTCTCCACCGTCGACCAACTACTTCCGTCCAACTCCAAATCAAACGTCGGCGGCGAATTCTTTCCGTCGTAGTTGCCGTAGTAGAACGTGGCGCGCACGAGCACTTGAGTGGAGGCGCCGCCGGGGATGGAGAGAGCGTAGCAGTTTCTTTTGCCTGTGGGGAATACGCGAAGGGTTTGCATGGATTGGGGGATTGAAGTGGCGTTGGGAACAGTTTGCGTTAGACCGGTTTTGATTAGGGAGGAGTCGGGAGTCCATTGAATGCCGAGCTCGTCTGTGTGTGGCTGAGAGGCGCCGCAGTCGATGCTCGTTATTACTGCAAAGTTCGGTTCAATCGTCGTTAAAATCGACAATGGAGACGAAAAGTATAAAAAAGGTAGAATTGTAGACGAAAATAATTGATTGAATTTCACCCTATGGGTCTGTTTTGTAGCACAAGATTTGATTTACGTAGGATTTATAAATCCTCTAAATTCAGATTTCAGAAATATCGAGGGTCCTAAATCCTGAAAACTGTTAGGCAACCTTCATGATAAATCTTATAAAATTCCATGCAATTGTGTTGACTATAGAGTGGATTTAACTAGCGGATTTTTCCTCTAAATCTAATGAATTTCATAAATTCGGCAAAAAATAGGATTCTAGAAATCCGAAATTTAGCACGAAAAGGCGAAATTTTTAGTCTACAACGGCTTTCATTTGCCGTGAGATTTGGTTTTGCATTTTAGGTCATTCAGTTGGATTTCGCTCAAATTCACCTCAAATCCAACATAATTCCTGCTACCAAATAGCCCAAATGGATGTTGACCTCGTTTTTGTCTTGATTTATCCTCGAATATGTTTGAGCGAGTTGATCGGATCTCGTCGAGCTTGATTTAATTCGAATCGACACTGATTTGAGTTTGATTTGTTTTATCTTATTTTTTTTTATTTTTTATTTTTTTTTATTGAATTAATTTTGGTCGAGTTGAGGCGAGTTCGAGTTGACCCGGATCGAACCAAATCTTAATCAATTTGAACATGATTTCAATCTCTCAGGTGTAGTTAAATCCTAGTCTAGGTTTGGAATGACTCTCGAAACCAATTTGAATCCCACCGTCCGATCAAATTCCGTTGGATCAAGAATTTGATCGGACGGCTGCGATCTCCCCTCTTCCCCTTGGTGCCCTAATTGAGGACGATGCCTCCATTTGGACGGGCTTGGACTCTCGGTTAAAGAAAAAGGAGGCGAAAGAAGCCTCCCTCTGGCTCCCTCTGGGGTAGAATCCCTAGCCGACCGAAATCCCCCTCTCTCTCGATCTCTCCCATTCGCGCAGCTCAAGGCCGACCGCCTGCCCTCTCTCCCTTCGTTCACAAAAGGCCCAGGAGAAACCCCTCTCTAGCAAAAAAAAAAAAAAGTCACTCTTCCTTCCCTCTCTCACGCCCGATCTCTCCTTCTCACACCCGCTCCCCATCTCCCATTTTCTCTGATAGCGACAGACCCGAAGGCCGACCCCCATTCGCACTCTCGGGTGGCTCTCTCGGGGTGTTCGCACAAGCCAGTGAGGCTTCCGCCTCTCCCTCCCTCTCGTTCGCATGTCTCAGACGAAAGAGGAAGGCCGAAGCCCCTACCTCCCGCTCATGGCTCCGTCTCCCCTGGGTTCAGACAAGACCCGAGGCCGAGAGTTCTCCCTCCCTGCGCTAGCCGTCGGACTACCTCCTCCTTCAGCCGATCAAGCCTAGGAAGAAGCCGGGCTACCCCCCACTTCGTCCCCCTGGAGGAGTGATTTCTCAGCTTCTTGCTATAATCATGGGGATCTCTAATGTTCAGGTAATTTCTTCCTTTGCTCCTTCTCTCTCTCTTTCTCCATTCCATTTCTCCTCCAAAAGCATCATCTCAACCCTATCTCCTTCTTTGATGAATGTTTCATTGTATGAAACTTAGAAGAATAAAAAAAAAATCTGTATTTTTCTTTGCAAATAGGTTGCTATGCAAATGAGATCAACCTCTTGGATGGAGTTTCTTGATATGATGGTTTATTCCTTAGATCACTGTAGTTCTATTACGTCATTCATTGTTATAGTTTATTTCGAGGAAATGGTTTCCTGGATTCCTATATAATGCATAGTTCATAATTATGTGATGAGATGTTGTTAACGGTGGCTCTTAGACTTTTGTTGGTTTGATAGATTTCCTTTTGGCAAATCCTCCGATTTCTGTATGTAGTTTTGTGGCTAAACATGGAAATTTAGTCCCCATTTAAAAAAAATGACTCTTCTTTTGTGAAATTTGGGTATCCAAAGGGATCTTATCTAAAACTGTAAAAATCTGGTTGGTTGAGTAAATATGTGATTGCATTTCATATGTTGATATCATAAACTTTGTTTTTTTTTAAAAAGGGGAAAATCTGAAAATTGCCTGAGTCTTTTTGTTCCTCCTTTTATTACAGACGTGTATACATGTAATTGAGTTATTTATTACAAGAGTTATTGGTAGTTTTATATGGATTGTTAATACAGTTTTAGATCAAAATAGGTGTACGAATTATGGCTTTCACGGTAGCTGGGTTTGGGTAACCGTGCAAGCATCACACCTCAAGTGTTTGATGAAATACCATTGAAGGGAGGTTGTAGTGCTTGGATATTCGTCGGTTGGATTCAATGATTAAGAAGTTTTCATATACGGGGTGATGCCTTGATTAATTTTACTAAAAAAAAAATGTTTGATGTGCTTGTTCCAAGACATTGAGTTTTGTCTCACCTATGTTACCATCTTTTTATTGGAATACTAACGGAAAATTGTTGTCTTATAATACCAAGCCCTCTTGATGAATCAGTGAACATAGTGGTATGGAATGCCTACTTCATTTACAATGCTTCTATAAGTTCTGGTTCTAAAGAATCATTTGGATTTGGAAGTTGTAGGTGTGTCAAAACTTTATGAGGCCCATGAGTTTATGAACAAAATTTGCGCACGCTTCATGATTGATTTTTAAGGGTTTGTATCTCGAATGTAAGGCTATTACTTTATGTTGGGAAGCTTTCATGGTGTCTTCGATTTCCAATAAGGGTTTTGTTCGGAAATTAACTCAATGTTGTGTTGAGTTGTTGGAATGATTTTCACCTTTTTGAACTATTTTTGGTAAAAGAAAGATATGTGATTTAAGTTTTGACTTGCGAAGTGGAGAGTGACTGTTTCCTTATTTCCAATACCATGATGTTGGTTTTGGATCCTTGGCAAGTTGTGGTTTAGTACTTGATGATTAAATGTGAAATCTATGAGTATTATCGAAAGTATTTCTCATGTTTCATGCTGCAATTTGGAGAATATATGGTTCATATGCAAAGTTGCTTGCTTCATGTTGAAAGCTTTATAAGTTATCTGGAGGAATACATGAATGTTGGAGAGCGTTGTGTCTATTCATACACATTTTGGTGAACATGCACAAGTCTAGAGGTGTTGGAGAATTGTCATGATCTTCATATATGAGTTTTGTATAGTACTAAGCATGGCTTTGCTCTATGTTGGTTGAATTGTCTCATTAACTTTGGAAAAGCGAATTTGTATCAGAACTTAGATCGTTTATATTGCTTATTTGTTGGGAGAGGTGAATCGACATCGAAATTCTTCTCTTTTTATTTGCATTTAGTTCAAATTGAATTGGAATGATATGATGAATTTCCGTTATACTTTCTTGGACTTGCTTAGGCTTTATGTGGAGAGCATATTGATAATTACATTGAGTACCTCTGGAATTTTGGAGAGCAAGTTGGCATTAAATCACCCTTCTTATAATTGCACCTTTGATAGGAATGTTGAATTTTAAGCTTTTATTTAAGCTGGTTATTTTATGACAAAGCATGGAGAAGTATTGATTTTCACTCTTACATTTTGTTTGATTTCACTTCGGTACCTGGTGGAAAGTTGAAAAGTGTGTTGGCTTTATGTTGAAAACTTGAAATTTGCTTTTGATTGGAAAAGACTTTGGTTTGCTCATGTTAAGGAGGTTTATGATTGGTTTTAGATTCGTTTTGTATTAGAAAGTTTTCAATGAGTTTTGCGGATGTTTTATGATGGAAGTTCGCTTGTGAGGCTTTCTTGTGAGAAAGTTCTCTCAAGTTTTAACCCCACTCCAAATGTCATAGAGGCACTTGATTATTGGTCTTTTTTTTTGTAGTATTTCATTTAGAGGTTTTTCATGAAGTATTTTGAGACTTCTAGCTTTATGGTTAGCTTTTTTTTTGGTAAGCCCGTTGGTGTCCTTTTTTTTTTTAGAATGAGGTGGTATTTCATAGGGAAGCTACCTTTCTTCTTGCTTGCACTTGTTTTTTAAGTGGTTTTGGGATTATTGGGTAGTAAGATCATGTTTTGGGTTTTAAACGAGAGGTCTATTTTGGGTATTTGTTTCTCTTTGTCATTTGGAGCTTTGTTTAGAGGGTAGGTTTACTTGTTTGAGTTAAGTCTTATATCAAGTGCTTTGTTTGGAGTATGGGGACAGCAAAGGACATTGTGAGTGCCTTCTTCCCTATTCGTATCATATCGAATTAGTGAGGAGGCTATTTTAAAGACACACTTGGCTTCAAAGAAGCGTGTCTAAAACAACAATGCCTACATCCCTTTTATTTCCGATTTTCATTCTTTTTCTTTCTACCGCTTTGCTATAGATTCTTAAGTTTAGCAATACATGTGCGAAAGTCCTAAAAGTTAGAAAACAAAACTCCTTTTAATCCTACAACCTTAGTGACACCTAAGGACAAAAATTAAGGACTGAGTCTTAGAAAACATAGACTTAGGATGCATGCTCCTTATAGGATAGAAACATCAAAATATAGAAAACTTAGTGACACATTTTCCTAGGTTTAGTGTTCCTTAACTCACATGTACATGTTCTATAAGTGCAATTATTGAATTTCTTGTTAGCTATATTTAATTTTTCTGTTAGTTATATTTTTGTTAGTTACCTGCACTTCTTTTCTGAACGGCATCTACGCTCATATATATATTTCTCTGTTGTCTTTTCTTGCGAGGTGCGTTGGAGCTTAATGATCGGGAACTGAACGCGACCGTCTGCTTACAAGCTTTTGAGTGGCAGCGCCACATACAGTCAGGTATAATCTCTGCAACTTGTAAAGCAAATTTTTAATTATATACCGAAACTGCTTCACATCACACACTTCCTGTTAATAGGTATTCTAGTATGTTTAGGTAGCCAGCCTTAGGTTAGTTCACTGACGAAGCTTTGGCCCTATAGGTCAAAGCTTGCCCCCTTCTGTGAGCCCTAGAGACCATTAGGGTCATTTAGGCCTGTAGAGTAGGCCACCTATTATGCCGGTTGGCATCGTTGTTTTCCCACACGAAGTGGGCATCGTGGTTTTTCTGCTAGGATTTTGGCCTTCTGGTTTTGGGTACGATACCCTCCCTTTTTTTTTTTTTTTTTCTGTGAGCCTTAGAGACCATTAGGGTCATTTAGGCCTGTAGAGTAGGCCACCTACTTATGCCATTGGGCATCGCTGTTTTCCCACACGAAGTGGGCATGACTATGATGATTTTCTGTGCGGGTACCTTGCCTGGAGGGTACCCTTAGGGTGTGTTTATTTACTTTTTCTGTACTCTGAATGTCATGCATGCATTGGTTTTTACACACTTTACCTCACATTATGCTTCACTTACATACATGCATCACATCAATAGATCTAGGGATATTTCATATCTGTTTCATGCATCATACATGGCGCTAGGTACTTTCTTTTGCATATTGTAGAGTCACTGATTGAGATCTTCTGAACTACGAATCCTTGATTTTCTAGGATAGAGCCTTCCTATCTTATATACATATAGGGCGATTGATTGTGTTTAGGATGTTAGCTGGCAGCTCACTCCAGGCAAGCATAAGCCCAGGTTGTACACCCCTCAGTGTGTCTTTTCACTTCTGGTGTGTTTTGAGTCTGTCGTTTTCTCTTAGGGTAGTAATCCGACCTTTGATCTTCTAAACTCAAAATTTTAATCACATCTTTATCCATTCAAAAATGTCTAATCATCACTAAGGGTAAATAGAAGAGACCATTTGGAATAGAACTTAGGAACTTTATCTGTGCACCAAATCAAGAAGTGAATAATCCAACATCCTTAATCGAGAGTTTTCTTAGATCGAGGTCTAAGATGTAATTAACTACGGGGGCTTGCGCCCGTAGGAAACCGATCCCCACAATCAAATAAACCCTATTCGAGCTGATGTATCGAATAGGGGAAATCTCGTGAACTTTTGGGTTATAGATATTATTATCCATCGAGGTTGGTAGGTGAAAGCCGCTATCCTCCATGGCTAATCGTATCTATAACTCCATCTGCTCTTCCATCGGCCTGCTTGTGTCGATTGTAAAGGTCTACGACCACTTTGTCCTACGGGATAGTGTGATCGTACCCTTTGCATTCGAACCACACGAGCGGAACCCTTTCGGAGACCCACAATGGATCTTTCATGTCGACACATTAAAAACTTTCTTAGCTATAGAATGAGACAGTATAATATTACTATAATATTTATAAACATATTTTCTTTATCATGTTATATATTTATGAGAGTTTATATAAAAATTAGAAAAAATATCAAAATAGTCTCTAGACTATTCGTATGTGGTCAATTTAGTCTTAGAGTATCACATTGCTCTAATTTAATTCCTTAACTGTATAAAATTGATTCAAAATAATCACTCATGTTGTAATTATAATATTAAATTGATCATAATTTAGAATCTCAATTTTATAGAATTGATCTCAATTTAGTTCTAATGGACTATTGCAGATCAATTGTATTTGATCGAAGGACTAAATTAAAATAATATTATACTTTGGAGCTGAAATGATCATATAAAGATGTTCTCATTTAATTTTTATTGTGATGAGCTTTATATTTATAAAATCTATTTTGAGATGAGTATAATGTAATAAATAAATAAATAGTTATATATTATATTTATTTGAAATAAATTTAATAAAATTTCCACCAAAAAATTAAATTTAATGGTGGATATAAAATAAAAAAGATCGAACAACTTTCCAAATTTTATTTTAGAACCCAAAAATCATAAATTTTTTTAGTAGCCGGATAAGCATTTTGACCACTTAATATAAAAATCTAAAGAATCCCCAACAAAACAAAAAATTGCATTGCATAACTCCCATAAATAAGGCTTAATATAAAAAAAGTTCACGAAAATGATGAAAATTTACTTGCGGAGTCCGTAGCAGCTTCTAATGGCGATGGATTGAAGAAGAACAGAAGAAGAAGAAGATGAGCTGCAGGGAAGAAGTTGGCCATATTGAGTAACAGATTGAAGCAGAAAACTAACTTACTGCTCAAGAGTTGATTTTAATAAGAGCTCCAATGAAGAGCTATGGTCTTATAGGCATATCGATTTGCTTTGAAAAGTCAATTTGGCTGCAACGAGTCAACGGCTTAGCCGAATTTAACTAATTTCCCATTGATATTACATTATTTTTATTGACTTTGACTTTGCGAGGAAATTATGGTGTAAATGATTTCAGCTCTCCGCGTTGAAGGGATCTGCTCTTGCATTTCTCAGTCATTTAAGTTTCTTTTGACATGACTTTTTTATTATTTTTTAGAGTATTTTTTTAGTAAAAATATATATATTATTTTTTATTGACTTTGACTTTGCGAGGAAATTATGGTGTAAATGATTTCAGCTCTCCGCGTTGAAGGGATCTGCTCTTGCATTTCTCAGTCATTTAAGTTTCTTTTGACATGACTTTTTTATTATTTTTTAGAGTATTTTTTTAGTAAAAATATATTTATTTATTAAAAAATATTTAAACAAACAATAAGAAAATTGTTCTAAACAAAATCATAGTATATGTAAGAGGGTAGTAGCTAATCTTAAGTCTTTTGTTTATAGCTTATGTTCAAATAAACAAACATAAGATTAGAGTTTAATTTGTGACAATTTTTTTACTATTTCTAAAGCAACTTTTTAAACTGTTTTAAAAAACATTTAGAAAGATGTCTCAAATGAAGCCTTGGTTTAGATAAGTTTTCTAGTTGATTTTGGCTTCATTTGGGACGGATTTGTTATTGGCTACTGCTTTTCTTAAAGCAGCTTTATAGCACAAAAAAATTAATTTTTTGTATTAAAAAGTTGCTTTAAGAAGTAGTAAGAAAGTCATCCCAATCGAAGCTTTAGTTTTCAAAATTCAGTCACAATTTATATTTCATTATTACTTTTTTGCTACTCTAATTTTTTAGGGTTTAACAAATAAATTGCTTTCTACAGTAGCCTTAAAAAATTATTTCTATCTAACAGTTTTACCATTAGCTTTATAAAAAAAAGCAATATTTTATGAATAGACTGTTTCATTTGTGACAACGGTAAGATTCGTTATTTAAATTCTAGTTATGCATTGGCATTTCGTCGAACAGTTTGTCTTCAAATTCCATAACCTCTTCGAAGACTTGCTGTGTGACTGTTAGTGCTAACAAGTCATAATTATCACGTCCATTAATTTTTTGTGTTGTAAATGGCAAGCTGGTTTAACTCGTGCTTTCATCTACTTTTATTTTGTTATTTATGCCAACGTAGATATTCTTATTATTTTATTTTTCATATTACAATCATAATTTTATTTAACCATTATTTTTTATTACATTCAAACAAAAATTTATAATTTTATATTACAATCATACTTTATACAGCAACTTTTAAGAAAACAGGAGTTTTCGTGTCGATTTTGGGTTGCTGGGTCAACCCGAATCCGACCCGATTTTTAAAACAAATTGATTTGTTGAACCGACCCGTTTCAGGGTCGAGTTGACCCTAACCCGAATTTTTACGGGTCGTGTCAAAACTTGATACCCCTAGATAGACTTGTAAATGCCCACTTGGTAGCACCGGCCCTACCTTTGCCCACTTGCATGTTTGAATACAGATTTGACTCAGAAACTTCTGCATATTTAGAAAAAAAGGAACGTTATGTGTGGACTTATGAATTGCTATATAAGATTCAACGATATGGTACTGATAAATATATGTAATATATGTAGATCCTAAAAAATTAATATTTTCGCAGCATTTTTTATCAGCGGTTTTTAAACCGCTGCTAAAAAAGAGTATAAACATCAGTTTTTACTGCTGCTAAATTTACTATTAAAAATTGATATACTTCTTTGTATTTTAAAACAACGGTTTAAGAACCGCAGGTAAGCACCCCGCTCATAAACCGACCTCGATCAATCCTTTTTTTTTCCCCTAGCCGACACATCCTAAACCGCCGACTTCGTCTTCGGAGACAATCCACGCCGAATCACTTCCACTTCCGATGCCGAATGATAACAGGCGAATCAATGCCGAAGCTTCTTTTTCGTAGACGAAGGTCAATCAATCCTTTTTTTGCCCTAGCCGACATCTTCTTCCCGTAGCTTCTTCCTTCGGCTTCCGGTATCTCGTTCCCTTCGTCCTTCAGTCCGACAGTGTCGCCGTGGCCTGTGAGCAGTCCGCCGTTGGAGGTAAGATCCGACATTGCATTGATTTGTATTTTCTTTGTTGTTTTCAGTTTTTATGTATCAGTTTTTACTTTTTTTTTTATGTGTATTCTATAGACGTTTAAAAAAATTGTTGGCCCATGAGAAATCCGCCGTTGGATCTATCTGTCTGGATGTTTTCCATAGTTGTGTTAATGTGTTTGCTTGTGTTTTCTGTTTTCTGGAGTGATAGTATTAAAAGTTTAGGGAAAGTCATGAGCAGTCCGCCATTGGGACCATAGTTGTGTTAATGCGTTTCCTTGTGTTTTCTGTGCTAATCCGTTTGGATTTTCTTTCTTTCTCTACCTTGTGCTTTCTGTTTTGGTTGGGCTTTAGATGTGTCCGAATCTTATCCATAAGGCGAAAGATGGGGGATTGGATGTGATTCAGACATATGTGTTCTGGAATGGCCATGAACCTTCTCCTGGTCAGGTATTGATTTAGAAAATAAAAATAAAAACAAAACAAGAAGTTTCCTGTTTCAATGAGTTCTAACGACATGCATTAAAGTTGGATAAGTGCTCTTTTTTAAAATTATGTTATTGGACTTTTTTCCTTCTTATGCATGATAAGGCCTTGATTGATGTTGTAATTGTATTTCAACATGAAAATGTCATTTACTCAAGTTATTTTTGTTTGTTTTGATTTTAACGTTCTTGCTTGTAACTTAGCACCAATATTCCACTATATTTATTAACTTTTCTATTGTTTCAGAAACCACAAAGCAAGGCCAAGGCGGAAGAGAGTTCTGAAGATAGTTCGGATGACAGTTCTAATTAGAGTGATGAGGAACCTCAGAGAAAGAAATTGAAAGTACATGTATGCCTTTTAATGAGTTCCTGAATTTATCATTTAAATTGGTGGACAAATTTGTCTAATGTTTCCTGCTAATATCGTTGTTATAGGAAACTACTGGATTGAATGGTTATTGATGATTATCTTCATTGTGCTTCTTTTATTTATGATTTGAATAAAATTTTGAGGAGACTGACTTGAAGAGGAAGGTTGCACCTGCAGAAGAGCAAGTGCTTAAGTAATTGTAGATTTATATATTGTTGCATCATTTTTGATAGACTGTCAAAGAATGGAAAAATGTATGAAGCGGATACCATGAAGCATCTAAATGAATTTGGAGAAGCAGGCATGCGCACCTTAGCTTTGGCATACAAAGTTTTAGATGAATCAGAGTACTCAACATGGAATGCATGGTGTTTCAAACTAAGCCTGAGTATAGAAGCTACGAGAAAACCGCAATATGATTTTTCAAAATATAAAAGTTAGATTCCCCACAAATTCATAGTCATCTCTATAAAAAGCTACAACTGATCCAAACAGACCCTAAGAATCATCACTCTAATATTGAATGATAAAGTTTTTTACAAGTCAAATATTTATACATAACATGCTTAAAAAATATATATAGAGGCTTTTTTAGTTGGAAGTAAAGTGTGTGTAAAGTATTCCAATCTCGGATTTTGAAAATATTAGTATTTGGTTTGATAAAAAAGGAAAGCACCATAAAATATTATAGATATATTGCACATTATTTTTGTTCTTTTTTTAGGTAAAGTAACTCAACTAGTTTTCAACGACAGTCTTTTTCACCGCAATAAAGCTATTTTGTCGCCAACCCCATCAACCACTAGCACTCCACTAGTCCGTACTGTCCACCACCCTAGGGTGTCAATATTGGACAGGACCTGAAAAATCGACCCGAAAATTCAGGGTTATGGTCAACTCGTTTCTCAAACAGATTTGTTTCGGGTTCCAGGATTTGACCCGTTTGAAAAATGGATTGGATACAAGTCAACCCGCTAACCCGAAGTTGACTTGCATCAACCCACACAGGCGTACATCGCTAGTGACGGTCTGCAACACTAGCAAGCCTTAACCGGCGGCGGCATAGGGTTTGCTTTTCCTCTTCTCCCGCAGTCTTTACTCAGTGACCAACTACCTCTTCGACGATGTTCCTTTGAGGCTTCAACCTTTCGGCGACTTCTTCGCCTCCTCTGAGTCTTTGATGATATTTCTTCATGTTGAATCGAAAGTCATGGCAACTAGCCATTCTTCACCTCCTTCGACAACGTTCCTTCCTGTCGTTTGTGCCAGATCGAGTCGGGTCAACTCGAAAACCCAACGTGACGTGTTCGGGTTGACATATTTGGCTCGTTTGCAAAAACGGGTTGAGTTTGGGTCATGTCAACCAGTGGCGGATCAAAGTGAGGTTCAACCCGAACTGGACCCGCAACTCAATTTTGACACCCCTACACCACCTCCACCGGTCAACTATGACTATTTTTAACTTTACAATTCATTTACTTAAAAGCACAAAAAAAAAAAAATCTCATACATTTTTTTTACACTAATCCAAACAACTTCAACATATCAAATACATTAAATTCTTTTTACACTTCATTTCTTTTATTTTGTATTATCTTTTTTAGCAAACTAAACAACCCTTATAATAGTATAAATATGAGGATAAATTGTATGCAAATCAAAACTCATAAGAGATTAAAAATAATATTGTTATAAAATACTCAAATTTAACATTAATTTAATCTATATAGTAGAAAATAATCTTAGTATGAAATTAGATTCCACTATTTATATAAAATTAGTGGAGTTATAAATATAAATGGACATATAATTTCAATGAATCAATTACGACTTAGTTTCGTTTGGGACGACTTTTTATCGCTTCTTAAAGCAGTTTTTAAGTAAAAAATTTTTTTATTATTTTTTTAACTAAAAAATTAGTTTAAGAAGTAATTAGAAAAGAATCCTATGTTGAACATAAGAAACTAATCGGATCAATTTATTATTCAAAAAGAAATTTAAAAGGGAAATAAGATAGTGATAGAGAATAATAGGGAGAAATAATTGCGTCTAAAAGGTGACGTTACGTGGGCGAGAATTTCTTATTTTGTAGACCAACGCATAGTGAAAGGTTGCTCATCAACTCCAATATTCTTAAAAAAATATTAATAATTAAAGTGACTAAAAAAGATAAATTTTTAGTTGAATTTGCTATAAAGTAAACTTTATGCTTGGAGTTTCATGTATTAGATGAAGTAGAAATGAATCAAGCTTTTTTATTGTTTTTTAAAGAGGGTTTTTAGTGAAAAAAATTAATATTTTGTATTAAAAATTACTTTGAAAAACAATAATAAGTCATCCCAAACGAAGCCATAGTTTGGGATTTTATTAAATTGATAATATTACAAGGGTTAAGTTCTCAAATTTTAGTGTGTCCAAATCTACTTCTAATTTCCTATTTATAAGTTCACATTAAAAAAATATTATTATACTATACATATAAATAATAAAGAAGAAAATTTTGTGTGCATGAGGCATATAGCTTAGAACATAAAGAGGTACATGTAGACAATTGATTACACTTATGAATAGATAATGCCACCAATTTATGGATGAAATCACCGACTCATTGGACATCTTCCTTTTTAGCCTGCAAGAAGAGAACTAAAGCAAGAAAGTAGCAAGAGATTACGATAGCTGAAATGATCAAGTACTGTCTCATTGCTATAGCCGTATACAATGGTATAATATATAATAGTATGTAGATACATTCACAGTTTAGATTGGATTGATCCTACGACTTTAAGCTTCACATAACCATCTGACAGGCCTTGACATGTGCGGAGCGTTCATGTGGTAGTGCCTGCTAACACCCCCGGGCCCCCCATGCAAACTGATGACTCCGTAAAGGTGACCAGTTTGGTTGAAATTTGTCAAAATTGGGTGAGCAACAAGGATTTGGTGAATAAATCAGCTAGTTGATCCTTGCTTGAAATATGATGTACTTGAATGGCTTGTTTCTTGATGCATTCGTAGATGAAATGACAATCAACTTCGATGTGTTTCGTGCGAGCGTGATAGATATGGTTGTTTTCTAGTGCTATAGCTGAAGAGTTATCGCAAATAGGGACGTGGGAGTGGCTTGTGAACAACCTAGCTCTTGAAGGAGTTAACGTAGCTAGATGATATCTGTATCAGCGAATGTGATAACATGATATTCAGCTTCCGTGGATGAACGAGCAATGACAGACTATTTCTTGACACTCCATGAAATGAGAGACCTACCCAAGAAGTTACAGTAGCCCGTAGTAGATTTCTGATCATGTTAATCGCCAGCCTAATCTGAGTTTGCGTATGACTGTAGTTGGAGGGAGTTGAAGGAAAGCAGCAGAGTTAGAGTTAGAGTTACAACTGGTTTACATTTGAGCATTCTTGCACGGTATAGGATGGTGTGAGCATAACGACTTTGTTGAAGTAACACACCTAAAGCTATAACGACAATGGTAATGTTAAGAAACTGAGACAAATATCCCAGGTTGCACATGTTAAATCGTTAGTGAATGTTGTCAAGTAATTAGCGTATAGCAGTTGTGTCATTGCTTGTCAATATGATGTCGCCGACATATATTAGAAAATACATCCGGATTTTATCTTTCCAGAAAATCATAAGGGAAGGATCAAAGCAGCTGATATGAAAGCCTAATGAATGTAGAAAGCCATATAATGTATCAAACCACTGGCGTGGTGGCTGCTTGAGACTGTAAAGGGCCTTTTTGAGTTTTCATACATGTGTGGAGTGGATGACATATAGGAATCCCGACAATTGTTTAATGTAGACATGATTAGTTAATTTATCATGCAAGAATGTGTTTGATACATCCAGTTGATGTATAGACCAGGCATAATGAAGAGCAATGACAATAAGAACTCAAATTGTTGGTATTTTGGTAATGGGACTAAATGTATTTTTGCAATCCAAGCCAAATTCTTGCTTGCAACCAAGTGCTATGATGCTGGCTTTATATCTAGCTATGGAACCATCAAAGTTGTATTTTTTTTTTTTAGAACATCAACTTACAACCAAGTAGATTTTGGTTTGGTGATAGGGGGACATGATCCTAGGTACCCTGTGATTGAAGGGTTTGAAATTATTGTGACAATGCTAGGTGCCAATGTTTATGTTTGGATGCTTATGTGTATAAAGTTGTATCTTGCGGAATGATTTGATGAGTAAGATTGAGGATTTGTTTTGGCTTGAGGTGTCCAGTTTGTAATCGAGTTTTCATGGGATGTGTGGGATGCTGGTGTAGGTTATTGGACTGCTGCATGGTAGGTGGAGTAGTTTCGGGTGAATTGGGGATTGGGGTTTGTATGGGCTGCGACGTTGGTATAGTTGGCTGAGTGTCATGAGGGGAGGTTGAATATGCAAGAGGGATGTAGAGATGAAGGCGTTGACATTTTCGAAGATGGGACTAAAAGAAGTGGAGGTAAATTGCTTGGAGATGATGGATTGCTGGATGGGAGCTGTGGTTTGTGGCGATGGGTTAAGGTTTCCTAGATGTGAGTACAGTGAGTGAGAGAGAGGACATATGGAAGTATGGATGAGGAGATGAATAACAGTAAAGCCGCTGCTAAGTTTTGATCAATGAGAATCCGTGTATCATATGGAGAGGTGGTCGGGGAGGGAGAAATGCCCGAGGTGGGAGTATGCTGGGATAGACAAACAGATGATCCATCAATAAATCCCTTGAATCCATTTGCAGCAAAAACCTTCTTGACATGGAACCATCATATAAGGTAGTTTTCAGAAGTTAAGGGAGAGGAGACAAGATTCTTGATGTTACTCATCAAGAATTTGAGTTGGGGTGGAATAATAATGGGGTTGAGGAGACATGTAGTCAATGGATGGTGGGGAGGTAGAAGAACCATCCATGAGGAAAGACAAGGAAATGTTCGAAAAGAGAATAAGCTGTGCTCTAATATAATGTTAACCTGCAAGCAGAGAACTAAAGCAGGAAAGTAGTAAAAGAGTATAAACGAGAGCTAAAATGATCAAGTACTGTCTCATTTATATAGTCGTATACAATGGTCTCATACATACTAGTATGTAGATGCATTCACGGCTCAGATTGGATTGATTCTACGGATCCAAGCTTTGTGTTACCATATGGTAGGCTTTGACATGTGCGGAGTGTTCCGGTGGTAGTGCCTGCTAACATCCCTGACCTATTCAAATAGGCTTCTTACGAGCAAATTTTTAAGCTCAGGCAAAATCATACATATAACATATGTATGTTTCGAACCTATGACCTCTTGGTTGGTAGTCAAAGCTCTCGACTAGTATAACAACAATGAGTTGTATAACAAAATTTTATCCAATG